GATTTCTTTCATCATTTTGTAGTTTTCAGCATACATATCTGGCACCTAGTATTACATTTCATGGGTTTTGGTGCTGTTGTAGATGGTGCTTTTTAAAAATTTATTTCAATTTCCAATTGTTATTGCTAGTATACAGCAATAGGATAAATTTTTTTTTGTACAGTGACCCTGTATCCTGTGATCATACGAAACTTATTAGTACTAGTAGCTTTTCTGTAGAGATGGGGGGAATTTTCTATGTAGACAATCTTATATGTGAATAGTGTTTCGATCTGTGAGTCTTTATTTTTTCTTGCCTTATTGCATTGCCTGAAACAACCACTGTAATGTTGAAGAGAACAGCAAGAATGGGTATCTTTGTTTTAGGTCTTCCCTTTGTCCTTCATCTCAGAATGTCTCTCCTCCAGCAATTTACTGCTGACATTGGTTATTTACTGCTTGCTAGCTTGGTGATGAGGAGTGGAGGTGTTCACATTTTTTATTCTCAGTGATCCTGTCCCTCCCTCAGCAGTAAGAAATCTGTAATGATCTGGATCCACTCCTTTTTCTGTCTCTCCTCCATGGATTCAGGAGGCTTTTTCTATTCCCTTCCTCCTAGTTGCAATAGATCTTTCCCTGTGCCCTGAACACTGCCCTTTGTTCCCTAAGCACCTTTTGTTTGGTGGTAGAGAAAGGGTGGAAGCATCTGGGGCAGGGCTTTGCTCCTTTCCTGAAGTGGCTACTGGATATCTACCACAGGCCTTCCTTTTAAAAGGGGTTTTCTACCCTTTTAAGAGTGTACCATTCTTCCATGGCTTCCATTGGCCAGAATTAAGAAGCCCTCTGATCCAATGACAATCTAAGGATTCTCGTTGTGCCCAGGTGACCCCTCCTCTCTGAGAGCCAAGCTTTGTCCTGGACTATGTCCCTCGGCCCGACTCCTGTCCAGGAGCCTTCTCTGACCCAGTGCCCATTCCACAGCTCTGCACCCAAACACATCTGCATCTCAGGGCAGCACCAGCTCACTCTAGGGCCCGCACAACAATGAACATAACCTTCCCCCATTTTAACCATGAGGAAACAGGCTCAGAGCAACTGAGTGATGCCCGCACAGTCACACAGCCAGGCAGTGCCAAAGCCAGGATTCAAACTGGCCCTCTCCCCATAGTGCTCATCAACCACCGTCAGTTATTCAGTCAGATATCTGTGAGGCGGGATGGAGGCAGGATTTTTTTTTAGGACTGAGGAAATGAAGAAGATCTTTGAGTTTGTGTGATAGCAGGCAGTGGAATAGGACTAAGACTGAAGATTCAGAAGAGAAGGGGATACAAGGGGAGGGAGGTAGATGTGGATTAAGGAGCCATTTCAATTGGATTAGCAGGGAGAAAGGGAAGAGTTTAGGGCCTTAGAACTACAGCTCCAAAGCAGATGCCTCTCTCTTGGACTCCATTTTCTCCAGTGCTGGGAGGCACAGGGACCAAGGCTAGAATTTGCAGGACTCCAATCAGTGGCCTCCAAAGGCAACTTTCCCTAGCAGCCTTCCCAGCCAGGGAACAGGAATGAAGATAAGATATGGACCCCCAGTGGGGTGGGGCAGAGGGATTAAAGTGCTGTCAGAAAGAGGTAGGTCAGACTGTGGTTGCCCAGAGGGATCATGGCCTGCTACAGGCAGTCTGGGAAGGCTACCTGAAGGAAGTGGACCCAGTACACAGTAGTCAGTCGATACATATATTTCATAATTGCTTTAAATGTCCCAGGAGACATCTGTGGATGAATTCTCTGAATCCCTGGCTGGAGCTGATGGTGGAGACACTGCTACTGCCATCACTTCGTGTGCCTGAGCTCAGGGGAGGCAACTATGTCCTCCCGGTGACAGGGAGATGTCTGCTCCTGGGCCTGGGGGAAGGCACAGGAGGCTATCTGTGCCAGGTGGCAGGATTAAGAGAGATGGTGAAGGCATGGAGACCAGGGGAGAGAAATGGTCTCAGCATGAGGGCCTTAAATGTCAGTGTAAAGCCAGAGACTCTGTGACCGCTGCCCGAGCGCAGATGGGGATGTCAGATATGCTGCTGGGGTCTTTCGTGCACATGCCATCTTTGCCTGTCATGTCTGCAGCTGTATTTCCAGTGTGCAGAACTGCACCTGGTACAGAGTAGGTGCTTGACAAATACCTAAGTATATGAATACATTTAATCCTCATAATATCTACTTTGCAAAGGAGGAAGCTAGGATCAAAAGGCATTCAGGGCTTCCCTGGTGGCTCAGTGGTTGAGAGTCCGCCTGTGGATGCAGGGGACACGGGTTCGAGCCCCGGTCTGGGAGGATCCCACATGCCGCGGAGTGGCTGGGCCCCGTGAGCCATGGCCGCTGGGCCTGCGCATCCGGAGCCTGTGCTCCACAACGGGAGAGGCCACAACAGTGAGAGGCCCGTGTACCAGAAAAAAAAAAAAAAAAAAAAAAGGCATTCAGACCCAGCCCTTGTGGGAAGCAGAATTCTAAGAATGAATCCCAATGACCCTGACCTTGTAGGATTCCCCCAACCTTTGAGTGTGGGTGGTACCTGTGAATATGATGAGATATCATTCCCATGATTATGTTATGTTATATGACAAAAGGGAGATTATTAGGTGGGCCTAATCTAATCATTCAAGCCTTTTAAAAGCAGAATTTTCGCCAGCTGGTGGCAGAAGGGGAAATCAAACAGGTTTGAAGCACCAGAAGGATTCAGTTCACCATCACTGGCTTTGAAGATGGAGGGGTCACATACAAGGACCAAAGAGTGGCTTCTAGGAGCTGAGAGTGACCCCAGATGACAGACAGCAAGGAAATGGGATCTTAGTCCTATAACGGCAAGGAACTGAAAACTGCCAACAACCTGAATGAGGCTGGAAGTGCATTCTTCCCCAGAGCCACCAGATAAGGGCCCAGCCACACCTTCATTTTGGCCTTGCAAGACCCTAAGCAGAGAACTCAACCATCCCCACCTGGATTTCTGACTTGCAGAACTGTGAGCTGATCAATACATGTGGATTTAGCTGCTAAGTTTGTGATCATTTGCTACACAGCCACGGAAAACTAATACAGCCCTCATACACAACACACAGAGCCCACAAGTGCCAGCCCCCAAGCGCCACATCACCCTTGGAGCATACAGTGCTCACGATCCGTGCACACCACGACCCCCCAGTCCATTGCAGGCCCATCCCACCCACAGGTGCCTCAAAGTGCCCTCCACACTCACTGTGTAAAGTGTTCCGAGAAGCCTGCTGGAGACTGAGGGCGTTTCCTGCTGCCAGGTCTGCTCCCAACTGGGCCAAAGGTGGCTACCTGTCAACCAAACACTCATGCTCTCTCTCTTCAGGGCACAGTTTTCCCTGGGACATGGCTGCCTTGGCCCGAACTACATTTCCCAGCTCTCCTTTCATCTAGTATGGCCCCATGCTTGGTTCTCACCAGTGGAATGTGAGCAGAAGTGGTGTGCCATGTCCCAGTCAAGGTTGTTAAGAAGAGGGTGTGTCCCTCTGTTTCCCCATCCATCCACTGAGTGCATGGAACACTAAGGCCCTTAGAGGCTCCTAGAGCCACAAGCTGGAAGGAGCCTTGGTCACCATGGAGAAGAACCACCTGCCAACCAGGAACACCTGCATTGGACAGTTATGAGGATGAATATTGTTATTGGGTTAAGCCACTTAAATGGGGTACGGGGTGTTGGAGGGTGCTCTGTGTTACATTAGCTCGTGTTACCTTGTTATACCAGCCCTTGTTCTCCTGGTCCCTCCTCTCAGGTCAACCATAGAGGGAGGCTGGGGGGCCTCAGGTCTGATGGGTCTCCTGGACAGGGTAAGCTCCCCTCCTCCCCTGACTAAGGAAGACCATGGAGGTCCCTGTAGCTGTCCACATTTGCCCAGTGGCATCCTCCACATGCTCAGTTCTGGGTTGGGGCCGGGCTTGGGGTCACCTCTGACCCTTGCTTCTCTCTCACCTCCACACCCAGTCATCTCCCGTGTGCATCCGCACGGCCACTGCTCTGGGCAGGCCTCATAGGATCTCACTTGGAAGTCAGCAATAGCCTCACACTTTTCTAACACACCATGCATTTGTACCTCGGAGACCTTTCTGAAAATGCCGATCCTGTAACACCTCTCCCTGCTCTACAGCCTTCAGTGCCTCCCCATTGCCTTCCAAATAAAGCCCATTTTCCCACTCAGTCCAGCCTTGTCTTCCATCAGAGCCCCTCAGGGCCTCAGTGGTGTTCCACACCTCACAATTCCCCCACAGGCCTCCCTGCTCAGGTGAAATGTGTAAATAAAGCACCTACCACAAAGGCACATTATTAGCAATGATGACAATCGTGATCAACTGAAACAACCTCTCCTCCTAATCTAAGTCCTTCCAGATGGCCCAAATCCCACCTCCTCTGGGGGCCTGTGAGGGTTAACTTTATGTGTCAATTTGATTAGGCTAAAGGATGCCCAGATCACTGGTAAAACATTATTTCAGGGTGTTTCCAGAAGAGGTTAGCATTTGAATCGGAGACTGAGTGGAGAAGATGCCCTCACCAATGCAGTGGGCGTCATCTAATCTATTAAGGGTCAGAATAGAAAAAACACGCAGAGGATGGTGAATTTGCTCTCTGCTTAAGCTGGGACAGCCATCTCCTCCTGCCCTTGGATATCGGTGCTTCTGGTTCTAGGGCCTTTGCACTCAAATTGGGACTTACACCACTTGCTCCCCTTGTTCTCAAGCCTCGGGGTTTGGACTGGAACTTCACCACTGGATCTCCTGCGCCTCCAACTTGCAGGCGGCAGGTTGTGGGACCTCTCAGCCTCCGTAACTGCATAAGCCAATCCCTCATAATAAATCTTTCTATATATCTACCTGTACATCCTATTGGTTCTGTTTCTCTGGAGAACCCTGACTAATACAAGGCCCTCCCAGATGCTCCCAGCAGGCACGAGCCCCCCTTTCCTCTGCTCCCTTCTAGGACTTGGGTCACACAATTCAACAACACGGCTCATTACCAGGTGTCACAGGTTGGGTTCTCTGAGAAGACTTTAAGATGGAGCTTTAGGGCTTCCCTGGTGGCGCAGTGGTTGAGAGTCCGTCTGACGATGCGGGGGACGCGGGTTCGTGCCCTGGTCCGGGAGGATCCCACATGTCGCGGAGTGGCTGGGCCCGTGAGCCATGGCCGCTGAGCCTGCGCATCCGGAGCCTGTGCTCTGCAACGGGAGAGGCCAAAACAGTGAGAGGCCCGCGTACTGCAAAAAAAAAGTTAAAAAATGATGGAGCTTTAGGTGCAGAGTGTTTATTAAGGAGGCCCTTGGATCAACACCTGTGGAAGGGAGGGGACGATCCAGGTGTGGGCAGAGGGAGAAGTTGAGCTGTGGTGCAGATCCAACCCCGTGGGCGCTCTGGAGAACATGTGCCCTTGAGGGGTGTCCTGAGTGGGGCTGAGATGGACAGGCCTTTATATTCCTGCCTCAGTGAGTCAGGCGATGTGGGCCACCTGGGAAGGGCTGTAACCTTAGTGAAGCAGCTCTTGGCAGCTGGAGCCATCCCAGAAGGCCTGACAGTACTCCCAACCGCTGGGGCAGCAAGTCCTTCCTAGAAGGAGGATCTGGGCGCATCTCCCTGTCCACCACAATTTGACACATGGCTGTCACCTCCTCCACCCACTCCAGGCACAATCCCTGGAGGCAAGCGAACCTAGAGGCTGAGTCAGTGCTGTACCTTTGCCTCCCTTCTCCCACCCCAAACAACCTCCAAAGCCACCATCTTCAGAACAGACCCCAGGGCTAGCTGAGTTCAGAGGGTGTCTGTAAACTGGGGGTGGGGTAAGCCCAGGCTGGGGTGCAGGGGGGTCTAGCTGGAAGCTGGGGTTCTGGGTTCCCTGTGTGGCCTCCTGATGCTGGTCCTCAGAGAGCAAATACTGCTCCCAGGACAGGTTTTATAGAGCTGTGGGTTTGTGTGTTGGTTGTCACACTGATGGGGCATGGGGCACAATTAGTGGGCAGGGGAATTGTCCTGCAACAAAAATCTGTCCCTGGTCCCCAGCTGTTGAAAAACCTTTCTAAATCTCCAAGTTGAGAACTTAACTCTGTTCTACATATAAACGCAAAGTGTTTTGTTGTACGGCTTTAAAAGCATACACCTAATTTTCTAGGAATGCAGCTACTACATAAATCAAGGGGAGATGCGTACTTGGCTTAGTTTGGAATTTTATCAAGAAATATCCTCTTTCAGAAAATTGTGTCAGGCATTTGACTCACCAAAACAACACCCCTGAATTCACCTGCGTTTCACCTGTTACGTTCTTAATGCTTCTATTTATAGCTAAAGCCAGGGGTCATTAAACATGCCAAGGTCTTCCTAGTGTAGTGATGCTTAAACATTACAGGCTGAAAAAAATTTTATTTTGTTGTCAATGACTTTCTTTTAATTTCTCCTTTACTTTCCAATTAAGGCAGTATATTTGTTTTTTAATTATGTGTCTGGATTGGTTGTAATATCTGTGACTTTCTTTTCAAGATGATAAAAGGGGCGTCCACAATACTTTATGTCAGAAGGAGGGTGATGGGTCTCACCCATCCTCAGACCTGGGTGTGTGTCCTCCTCTTGGGCCTGACCTATCTCCCAAACTCACCCCATCACCCCCCACCACTGCCACCACCGCCACCATGGAGAGGTGGGCTTTAGGACCTGTGGGGGGAGGGTGCCCTCTGCAGGCTGTCAGCCTTTCTTTCTGGAAAACAGGGCCAAAGGAAGCCCTGGATTTGATGATTCAATCTGGGACAGAGCCAACTGGAGTGATCCTTATCTCGCCATGTCTGTTTCCAAAACACCCTCCAGATTCACCGTCATCATCGATCCTGAGCCCTCCTACCATACTAGGGACCTAGGTGGAGGTGCAGAGGGGTGACGGGGGAGGGGAGAGGTGGAGCTAGACCCCTCGCCCTTCCATGGGAGCTTAATGGAGTTTGGAGCCCAGAGGCAGGCCCCTCCCAGCCTGGCCCGCTTCATGGGGACAGCTTCCAGGCTTAATTCCCACTCTTCAAGGCCATTTCAAGGCCGAAGATTTTTGCAACGCCTCCCTGGGTACTTCAGCCAGTGATGCTGGGCTCAGGCTGGGCATCTCCCAGGGCAGAGGCAGAGAGATGCGCCCACCACCTAACTGAGCTTACAGCATCAGTGTGTGTCTACAGGGGGCATGAGTGTGTCTGAAAAACCAGGAAGGTGCCTCAGGGCTAAGGAGTAGGGCTACAAGTAAAATAGAGGATGGCCAGTTCATTTCTATTTCAGATAAACAGAAAATTATATTTTTAGTATAAATATGTCCTATGCAATCCTTGGAACATACTTATGCTAAAAAAGTATAAGCTGCTCATCGGAAATTGAAATTTAACTGGGTGTTCTACATTTTTATTTGCTAATTCTGGCAGCCCTCCTTAGAAAACAAGTCCATGTGTCTGTGTGACACAACATTGTTAGTGTGACTGTGTGAGTGTGTAGGGGCCATGCGCAAACCCCGAAGTCACCATGGGAAGGCACACATGGAAAATGCTACCACAACGAAGGCCAGGCGTGAGGCGCGTGCCTGTCAGTGAAAGGGGGTGGGTCAGCCCATGTGGACCCAGCCTCGAATCCTGGGCCTGTAACCCAGAGATTCTCAACCTTAGTGGGGCTCCAGGGTCCTCTAGGGTTCAGGTTCCCAGAACTACCCCTCCACACACAGGCACACCCCACTCCCAGAGTCTGGCTCATTCAGCCGGGGCTGGCAGCTGACTCCTGTTTCTCACATACCATTCACTGGGTCGCCAGTTTTGTCATCAATGCCAGTTAAGGCCTGGATCTGGGCCTTGAGGAGTAGGAAGCAGGCAGGGGACTTCCTCAAAGGTGAGTGGTGGGCTCAGACCCCCAGTGGCTGCACTGGCTGGGGCCTGGCTTATCTTCTGAAGTTGGCAGTCCAGCCTCCTGGACAAAGGCCATCCTCCATCCTCCTGGTGGTCTCCTGCCTCCCTGTGGAGAGGAAGATTCTAGCATGAATGACACTGTTCCGATGAAGAAACTGAGGTCACAAGATAGGTCCAGGACTGGAACCCAGCTTACCTGAGTGCAAGCTGATGGAAGGACCAGGCTCAGCATGATGTCCACCAGCCCCAGCCTGGGTCTCCTCACCCCCCTCCCCTCCCCACCAAGGAAATGACCGCCATTGGTTCTGTGTTTCCCAGCCCGGCCAGGCCTCATTTCAAACAGCCTGTGTGCTGTCCCTTCTCAGCCCATGTGTTCCAAGCCCCTGACCACCTCCTCCTCTCCTGCTCCTCTGTGCTAAGTAATGTTCTGCACACTGGCTGTCCCTGCTCTGACCACACCATGTCAGGATGACTGTCTGCGGCTCCCTTTACAGCTGAGTGCTTTAAGGGTCCAGACCCGGTCCCCTGCACCACCGTGTCCCTCTGCACGGTGTTCCAGGAGTGTTTGAGGAATGAATGGGGGTAACTGGTCTCATCAAGTGGCCACCAGAACCAACTTCTCACACTGTCCTCAGGTGCCTGAATATCAATAAGCCCAGTAGCGTCAGACACCATCTTCCAGGAACCTAGGACTATCAGCTGTAGGATGCAAACGCCTTCTGATTAGAAATGAACCAAAACAATCACACGTCAGTACGCGCTTCCGTGGCCACACTGAACGAGGCCAAGTCCTTAAAGTTCAATGGAATAGATATTTAAACATCTTAGGGTCACATATTCAGAGGCCTTAGGGCTAAATGAAAAATTCTATTTGTATAGAGTTATTAGTTTCCTATTGCTGCTGTAACAAATTATCACAAACTTAGCGGCTTACAACAAAACCAATTTCTTAACTTACAGTCCCAGATAACACAAATCCCAAATGGGTCTCACAGGGCTAAAATCAAGGTGTTGCAGAGCTGCATTCCTGCTGGAGGCTCTAGGGTAGAATCTGCTTCCTTACGTCCTCCAGCTTCTAGAGCCATGCTGGCTCATGGCTCCCTGCCAGCCAGCAATCACACGACTCCAACCTCTGCTTCTGTTATCACCACTCCCCCCTCTGACTCTCCCGCCTCCCTGTTTCTCTTATAAGGACCTGTGATTACATTGGATCCACCTGGATAACGCAGGCTAATCTCCCATCTCAAGATCCTTAACAATCATGTCTGTAAAGTCCCTTTTGCCATGTAAGTTATATATTCACAGGTTCTGGGTGAATATGGTTAGGATATGGACAACTTTGGGGCAGTGGTATTATTCTGCCCATCACACCCATTTTAAGAGTCAAAATGCAATCAGGTTATCAGCCTGAGAGGGGAGCTGCACCAGAACTGGGAAGTGTGTGTACAATTTGGCACCAAGGATACGGGCTACCTGGGACTTCCCTGGTGGTCCAGGGGTTGGCAGTCCGCCTTCCAGTGCAGGGGACGCAGGTTCGATCCCTGGCTGGGCAACCCGGATTGCACACGCCGCCGGCCAACTAAACCTGTGCTCTGGCAACTACAGAGCCCAAGCGCCACAGCTAGAGAGAAGCCCGAGCGCCACAATGAAAGATCCTGCATGCCGCAACTAAGACCTGATGCAGCCAAAAATAAAATAAATAACTAAATATTAAAAAAAAAAAAGGATATGACATACTTGACCTTGATATTAAGAAGTAATCTGTATATGTTCGGCACTTATAATGCTTGTAATGTATAAGATAATTTGGCCTTTTAGAGTGACGGCCTTTAACCATTGAAAGTGTAAAACTGAGTAATTTAAACTGAGGGTTTTAAGTTGAACGCTTAACGAGTTTATATACAATACTAGAACCTATGAGAGAACTTTAAATTCACCATATTTTAACTTTTATTATTACTTAATTTAGATTTTTCTTTTATGAGTTTAACTTAATTGGTTTTGTAAGGATCACTTAGTACTCAGGAAGGAAGCTCTTCTTGGTTAAGTTAGAAATGGAGTACTGAAATAGGAAGCCTCTTTTTTTTTTTTTTTTTTTGTGGTACGCGAGCCTCTCACTGTTGTGGCCTCTCCCGTCACAGAGCACAAGCTCTGGACGCGCAGGCTCAGCGGCCATGGCTCACGGGCCTAGCCGCTCCGCGGCATGTGGAATCTTCCCAGACCGGGGCACGAACCCGTGTCCCCTGTATCAGCAGGCGGACTCTCAACCACTGTGCCACCAGGGAAGCCCGGAAGTCTCATTTTTAAACAAAGTTTAAAATACTTTAAGATATTTGATTGAGTTTATACACTGGACCAAACATTATTGCAAGACCTCTAAAAGGAGGTTGTTAAAATTTGCTGCACATAAAGAGAATATCAAGATTTGCAAGCTGAACTTAAAGTCTAGAAGGAAACTCCTAGTTTCACTTGCCCTTTAGCTAGAGGGGAAAGGTGTTGCACTGGGCCAGCCACAAGAGCCTGAGGAAAGACTATAGTGAGGTCCCAAAGAACTGCATAGACCCGGGCCGTCACATCAGGCAATACTGGATGGATGCCTCTGGCTGCATTTTTTTTTTTAAATTCATATTGGTATTGTTGTTTTGAATTTTTTTTTAATTTCAGAAAAAGCAAATAAGTAAATTTTTTATGTACATTTTTTTCATCTTTTCCGTTTTAAAAAAGTGGGGTACAGTTATAGGATCAAAAAAATTAGTAGGAACACTATCATGTTAGAATTGAATTGGAAAGGAACTTTACTTTCCGTAAAGGCAGATTTAGGTGACTCAGACCCACCTTGCTAATGAAGGCAACTTAAAAAACCTGGCCATGGCCTTTCCCTCCCTGGTGGTGCAGTGGCTAAGAATCTGCCTGCTAGTGCAGGGGACACGGGTTCGAGCCCTGGTCCAGGAATATCCCACATGCTGCAGAGCAGCTAAGCCCGTGTGCCACAACTACTGAGCCCATGAGCCACAACTCCTGAAGCCTGCGTGCCTAGAGCCCATGCTCCACAACAAGAGAAGCCACCACGATGAGAAGCCTGTGCACTGCAACGAAGAGTAGCCCCCCGGCAGCAGTGATGAACAGCCAAAAATAAATAAAATTAAAAAAAAAAAGAGTAAGGATGGGAATTCCCTGGCGGTCCAGTGGTTAGGACTCGGCACCTTCACTGTCAAGGGCCAGGGTTCAATCCCTGGTTGGGGAACTAAGATCCCACAAGCTGCGTGGCGTGAAGAAGAAGAAAAAAAGAAAGAAAGGATAAGGGTGAACCAGAAACAAACTGACCTTCACAAGTTCTACATTCTGGCTTTGATTATCTGGGTAAGTCATGAGCTCTTCAGCCTTGAAACTGGACTAAGGTGATCCTGGATGCCTGGCAGAAGCTCACTAAAACCCTAACTGAAGGACAATGACATCCTTTTAGGCCTCAAGTAATTTTTTTTTTTTGTCTGAATCTCTGGGGGTGGAGCTCAGGTGATTCTAAGATATAACCAAGCTTAAGAACCATCAGACAAGCCCATGGCCCACAGCTGGTGGGAAGCAGAGCCAACACAAGAATTCCATGTCTTAAGGGAGTGCTTTTTTTCATCCCAAGAATCGGGGAGTCCCTCGACCACTGGCTCTTTGGGGTCCCACGAGCTGCAAGGCAGTGCTGGATGCGTGGGCTCCACAGACAGTCTTGGCTTCTGTGAGGCCAACATGCTTCCTCCTTGTCCTTCTTTGACTCCAGAACTCGGGCCCAGACAGCTAAAGCCCAGGGGAGAGCGGGTGACTCAGACACTTCCTGTTTTCTTGGCTACAATGACAAGGGGATGGAGACAGCCCAGGCAGGGTTCATGGCCTAAGAGAGGGGTCCTGGAGAGAGGAGGAGGTGGGAGCTGAGGGCCCCCTGCCGTGAGATGTGGGAGCAAGCTGGGCAGAGCCACATGGGGTGGAGATGTGGTTGGCTGGGTGGCCAGGTCAGCAAAAGAAGGAGGATTGGGGGCCAGCTTTTCTTAAAATGTGTAGATTTTCTGAGTCCTTAGGGGTTGCAGGAGAGACCTCCGCTTCTGTCTGGATGTTTGGTTCAGGCAAGCTGGGAGACTGAGTAGGTCAGGAGGAGCTCTACACAGGGAGGCAAAGGACCTGGGTTGTCCTGTCCCTGCCCTGCCATGAATTACCGTGGGACCCTGAGCACAGCCCTGGCCATTCTGAGTCCCTGCTTCCTCTTCTATGAAATGCAAAGGGGCTGAGCTCTGAGAGATCCCCAGAGTCTAAGAAAAACCCTAACCTCTCTCAGCCTTCAGAGCACTGTGCAGGCTCTGGGGGACTTTCCGTGGACGTGATTTTGATTTCAAGTCGCCTACCTTGAGAGGTAGGAGGGGAAAGTGCTATCATTACCTGATGGCTATTGGAGTCATAGATGACCAGGAAGACCAAGAAAGATGTGGCCAAGGGCGTGTGGGAATGGGGACCTGGATGCTCCTGGTGGCCCAACTTGGTCACTCCCTTCCTTACATGACAGCAATTTGGGGATGCTTATGAAAAACCATACATATTGGAATCTTGGCCTCAACTATCTCCCTGCTGGGATCACCCTTCGGAAGTGATCCTAAATTCAGAAAAGGCATGTTGGAAAGGAAGATATTCACTAAAGTGGATTTTGTATTAATGAGAAGTTAAACACAGCCCAGACATCCAGCAATCGGAAACTATAGGCCGTAGAATGTGTATTAGGTACCTATTTCTGAGTAGCAAGTTACCCTCAAACTTAGTGGCTTAATTAACAAGAATTTACTACCTCAGAGTTTCTGTGGCTCAGGCATCCAGGCCTCTGGGTCAGGGTCTCTCAGGAGGCTGCAATCTAGGAGTTGCCTGGGGCTGCAGTCATCCCAAAACTCGGCTGGGAGAAGATCCACTTCCAAATTCACTCACATGGCTGTTGGCAATCTCAGGTCCTTGCTGGCTCTTGAGGGAGACATCGGTTCCGTAGCTTGTGGGCCCCCCTGTGGCACGGCTCACAATATGGCAGCTGCCTTTCCTCGGAGCAAGTGAGTGACCTGGGAAGCACTCAGTCCTCCTGTGACCTGACCCCGGAAGTGACCTCCCCTCATTTCTGCTGTATTCTCTTCCTTAGAAGTGAGTCACTAGGTCTAGCCCCGGTTCAAGGGGAAACAAAAATTACACAAGTGTGTGAATACCAGGGGACTGTAGGGGAGGGAAGAATTCTCCTGACCCTCTTAAGGTCCCTGGATGGATCTGAAAATTAAACTGACAAAGACAGATGAACAGGAGAAGAGCATGCAAATGTATTTAAGTTTTACGTGACACAGGAGCCTGCATAAGGAAATGAAGACCTGAAAAAAGTCCTGAGTGTTTTTACGTTGGGTTTGATGAAGAGTGGGCACCTTTATAAACTAGGTCTTTTGCTTTTCTACACATGAATTCATTTATGCATCTTTTTCCTCCCAGTTATTTATCCTCTAAACGTAAGTAACTAATTTTCTGCCCCTGAGGGCTGAGGGGCTGGGTAGGAAGGAGTCCAGGCCTCACATCTGTCCTTGAGCCTGTCTGAGCAATAAGAAGGTATAAATTCTCCCACTGAGACAGCCTCAGGGATGTGTTCCAGGCCAATTGGAACCATTTCTAATCTCATTGCATATTCCTGGGTTTATTGGAACCTGAGGAGTTGCGTTTGGGGGTGATCCTGAGGGCAGCATTGTCTGGGGAGGATTTGGTGTATAGGGGGTGGTAAGGATTGGAGAGGCAGAGGAAGGGACCCAGAGAAAAAGGGGAAAGCTGTTGACACAGTGGAAAACCACCTGAAAGTTGGAGTCTCAGACCCTGGTCATGCCAGTCACTTGAGTGTGACTCCTTCGAGCCTCAGTTTTCTCATCTGTAGAATGGGATGAAAATGAGTAACATGGCCCTTCCTCATTCAGTAGGGTTAAGTGAGATTGATTATGCACAGAAATCTACTCTGTAAACTAAAGCTCTTGACCAGTGATGGTTTCCTCAGGGATTATCTAGAGCAAACATACCCCCCCTCTTGCCACTGAGCTCCCAGCAGGAGTCAAGTCCTTCCCCAACCATGGGCAGAAGGCAGTGTTGGCTCCCACATTCTGAGCTACGGTTCCATCTCATCTCTAACTGGTTATGTTGGTTAAATATTGGTGTTGAATATCCTTCAGTTAAAAAGAACGAGGTTACCTCTAGAGAAAGACGACTTGGCAACATCCATCGAAAGATCAATTGACTCAGCAATTCCACGTTTAGGAATACATACACGGGTATGAAATTACATGAACAGGCATATTCATTGCAGCATTCTTTGTGAGAGCAAAGCACTGTAAAGAAAAAAAAAAATGTCCATCCACAGGCGACTGGATAGATCAGTTATGGAACATCTATACAATGGAATGCTGTGAAGGCATTAAAATGAATGAGGCAGTGCTGGGTGCACTGATCCAGAAAGATCTCCAACATATATTATAAAATGAAAAAAAAAGCATGTTGCCAAACAATATTACCAATCTAGCTCTGCTAATGTAGAGCATCAAACAAAACCTCTCCTATGTACCCAATTTCCATGAAAATACAGAGAAAATGCAGGGAGGGACGGTGGCCAGTTGTCAGAAGTGGCCACCTGGGGGAGGGATGGTGGGAGAAGGGAACAAGGAAAGGGGCCTTACCCTTTTTTACTCCATATATTTCAGAGCTGGTTGCCATTTCTTTGCAATGTGAATATATTCATATGGTTTTTTAGACTTAAATAAATATATATTTCTATTTATATATGTAATATATAAAAGCCTTAGAATCTTTCACTGTCTTTGAAATTTCGGATCCCTGGCGATTGTTTCAGAAAACTTCTGAGCCCATGTTTGGAATTTGTGGGTACTTCCTCCTTAGGAAGGAGTCGCCAGCAGGGCTCCGTAAGACCCTCTCTGTAGATGGACCGAGGCTCCCCTCTTCCAAGATGGCGCCTCATCCCAGGTGATGTGCTCTGTGTAGCTCTGTCAGACCTGTCAGACCAGGATCCCAGACCTCCCCCACCAAGCCTGCTCCCTGCCCAGGGATGATCCCTTGCGCTTGCTCTCACACCTTCTGTGCAAGGATGAGGGAAAACAAAACCGAACCAAAAAAACCCTTCATTCCTTAAACAACTAGTATTCAATGCTGGATAAAAACAGAAAAGATTAGAGTCTAGTGAAGAGACAGACTCCAATCAGTCTCCTAAATAGGAGTGAAATGAGGTCTGCCACAGATGCTCTGGAAGACAGACTCAGAGAATGTTCTGAGGAGAGAAAAGCTGCGGAGGTTTCTCCTCCATTTTTACTGAGACTCCTCCCCTCTCCACACCCCACATCCTCACCCTTGCCGCCCTCCATGACCTGGAACTTGAAGGCTTGTGTGGGAGGTCTTCGGCAGCTGGCCCAGGGGCTCCCCACGAGCGAAAATGAGGGGAGAAAATGCGAGGCGGGACCTGGGAAATCACCAGCAGATAAGCCCAGACCAAAGAGCTCCGGTGGGGAAGCGCTGGCTGGCTGGGCAGCTTGGTGCCGGACACGTCACCATCATCATGGCTTGTTCCAGCCCTCCAAGACCACTATTCAGACCGCCATCCCCTCCCAAGCTTCCGCCTGCAGGGGTCCCAGGCAGCAAGGCCACTGGTGAGTGGGCTCTTTGGGTTTGGAATTGATGGTTTCACTGCCAATGCCAGTGTCTGGACCAAGAAAAGAATTCTTCGTATGTGTGCCCTCCAACACTGTGTGTGTGTGTGTGTGTGTGTACACATGCATACTCTACACACAGGTTCATACTCTGTGGATAGGGTATCAATTCATTCCAGATTTACTGGAACAGCCTCAATTTCACATATTTGGCCACCACAAACCATTGAAATATCTTGAAAATTCCACTATGATTATGCAGAACTCCTTCAGTCTTGTTCCAAAAAAAGGATTTGAGAACCAGCTTGTAGAGTTGTATATACCTCAGCAGGATTTAAAAATAACAGACAAGGAAATCGCAGAGAAGGGAGAGTAAGATGACACAGAAATGCATAACATGTCCTGTACACATGCTGGAAGCAGGCCACAAACGTATCTCAGAATTTCCAAGCAGCCAGAAGTCAGAGGGAAAGAAGATGACATGGATTCCTGCTTCTGAGACCCATGGGAATTTCCCCCAAAGTCCTCAGAAAGATGCAGCATGACTCAGTTTGAAAGAAACAAATTCATGTTCCATATCTTTTTTTTTTTCATGTTCCATATCTTAACAGTGGTTTGGTTACATGTGACTGAATTTGTCAAAACTCACAGAAGAGTGCATTTAAGGTTTGTGAGTTTCACTGCAAGCAAATTTTACCTCGAAAACAAAAGAACCATAATATAGTTAATGATATGCCTACCAAAGGGTTTAGGGGTGAAGTGAACTGACACTCGCAGCTTACTTTTGAAATGCATCCAAAAAGTAAGATGAATTGCTGGGTGGAGAGAGGAAAAGAGGGATGGACGTATGATGAAGCAAGTATAGTCTCAGTGGTGGGCACAGAGTGTGGGCAGTATAAACTTTCCATTTTTCTGTGTTTGCACATTTTTATAATACAGGGTAGGGGCTCAGAGAAATGAAGTGGACCTTGGAAGTTACCATCAACACTCGGAAGGTAAAAGGCCCTGGGTTTTGTTCACAGAGCCAGAACTAGCAGCAGCCCTCAAAATCTGCTGACACCCTAGGCACCTTGCCCTCAGGCAGTGACGGGCGTTCTGGGGAGCGGAGCTTTGGCCTCAACGGACAGAGAGGCCTGGCTCCTGCAGAGCCCACAGCACAGAGGGATTTTGGCATCTCCCAGACAAAGCTCTCCGATCATGGAAACCCCTTGTCAGAACATCAGGGAGCGTCTACCCTCTGAGGCTCTGTGCCTCGCCCAGAGAGCCCTTGTGAGTGGCAGAGCTGGATTTCAGCCTTCACAATATGATGGCATTGATGATGGAGATAGTTTTTTGTTTTTGTTTTTTGGCCTCACCACGTGGCTTGCAGGATCTCAGTCCCGGGACCAGGGATTGAACCTGGGCCACGGCAGTGAAAGCGCCAAATCCTAACCACTAGACCACCAGGGAACTCTCACAGAGATAGTTTTGGGGCTTTTCTCTCTGCCAGGCCCTGCAAGAAGCATTTACATCTATCACGTCATTTAATGCTTAAATGCGGCGAGCGGGGGCTACTCTTCATTGTGGTGCGCGGGTTTCTCACTGTGGTGGCTTCTCTTGTTGCAGAGCACGGGCTCTAGGCGCGCGGGCTTCAGTGGTTGTAGCACGCAGGCTCAGTAGTTGTAGCTCACAGGCTCTAGAGCGCAGGCTCAGTAGTTGTGGCGCACGGGCTTAGTTGCTCCGCGGCACGTGGGATCTTCCTGGCCCAGGGATCAAACTCGTGTCCCCTGCGTTGGCAGGTGGATTCTTAACCACTGTGCCACCAGGGAGGTCCCTGTCATCCCCTTTTATATATGAAAAATGGCTCAGAGAAATTCAGTAACTTGTATGGAACACTCAGCTGGCAGATGCTGAGCTGGGATTCAAAGATGTACTTGACTCCAGAGACTCTGATCCTAACCACCGCCCTCTTCCGCTCCACAGGCCACTCTCCTCATCCCTCCCACCTTTCCCCCACTCTTCTCCCAGTGGTTTGTCACAGAGGACTTGTCTGCTCCATCCTCAGAAGAAAACTCAGGAGAAAGTCTGACTCAGGCCCATAGTGCTCCTTATAAACCAAGCACCCCACGCCTGGCCCTGTACTCCTGCTTCCCAGGACAGCTCTGCACCCCAGGATGGGCTTCCTTCCCCAAGAGAAAGGAGACACACACACACACACACACACACAAAACACCAACCAACACCCGGATGGGCTCAACCAGCCCCAGTCTGATCCCTGCAAATCCCCTGCCTCCATCCCAGCCCAGCTCCTGCAGAGACAAGACAACCTGACAACAGCCTGTCACCTCTTTAATGAACCCAGAGCTGAGGAAGACTCCAGACAGCTGGTAGCCAGCCTCCTTAGAGGAGGAAATGAAGGCCCAGAGAGGGGCAGTGGCTGGCCCAATGTCACACGGCACTAAACTTTGTCTCCTGGGACTTGTCCCCTTAGCTCCCGTCTGGGCAGGGCTGAGTTGGGCTGCAGAGGTGGTGGGAAGAAGTGAGGGTTGGATGGGGCCTAGAGGCCCCTTCCTCTCCAGAGAGAGAAAGGTTAGCTCCTAGGACCAGGGAATAGAATGGCTGGGCCCTGCAGTGCCAGCAGGGATAGTAGCTCTCATTCTAGATAGGGAGAGAGGAAGTGCCTGTCACTGGAGCCCACGGCCAGTTCCTGGCGACATGGATCCCCAGTGTCCTTCCCACGCCAGCCCCTCGATTCCCTCGGAAGGATCCAGAGGTACAGAGCGGGCTGAGCTGAGCCTCTCCCATGCCCACACCCACTGCGCCCCTGTGCCTTGGACCCATCGGTGCTCCCAGGACGGAAGACCAGACATTTTGCTTTTACCAAGTCCCTTCCTAAAAGTCATAGAGCTTAGACTCTGGCCTGGGCCCTACAGAGGCTGCTGGCAGAGGGACCCCCACTCTGCAGCCCCTTGCAGGGAGAGAAGAGGGGGAAGACAAAGAGGCCCACCCATCCCCCAACACGCCTGCTCTTCAGCCAGGCCTGGCCTCCAGGGACTTTAGAACACCCCACCCACCCAAGGGAAGGGTTCTACCCTGGTTGCTCCAAGCCTCCGGCAGGGCCCAAGCAGCCCTGGAGTGGGATGGGGTTGGGAGGAGCGAGGGGGGGTGGTGGTGGTCACCCAGCTGTGAGGCCCACATCCTTCCAGCTTGGAGCCTGTGGAGGAGAATGGGGATCAGACGGTGGAGACTGGGTCTGCAGTCAGACCCCAAGCAGCCCCTGGCCAGGCCAGGCTGACTAGCCCCTCCCTCATCACAAACACTAGGCCCCTGGCTCTGAGAGAAGGGGGCATTTTTCAGAGATGACATCAGGTCTTAAAGTTTTATGTTTCCTGCCAACCTCAGCCTGGAGAGCAGAGTCCCCAGGGCCCACAGGCCTGGCGGGGCAGGTAGCAGCGCCGGTGCAGATAGCGCACCACTGGCCTTGGACTCTCACGGCAGTCCACCCACAGGCCGCGAGGGTGACGTCCAGTGGTCTGCTCACCTGAGGACACAGCCCTGCCTGGTCACTGTAGGACAGATGCAAGAGGAGAGAAGATACCAAGTTGCCAGGTCCCCAAACACACCTCAGAGCCTTTGCTCATGCCGTCCCCTCTGTCAGTTCCCATGCCCTCCGTGCTCCACGCCATCTGGCGAGTGCTTCCATATCCTTCAAGTATCTTGTCCAATGTCCCCTCCCTCCCTGCGCCTCTACAGTGTTCTGTCCATCCTTCCATTAGAGCCCTGATCCCTGGCACAGTTTATTTTTATTGATTGATTGATTTGATCTGATTTTTGCACAGCGCTTAAAACCACCTTGCTTTCACACTCCCTCTGGCCTCCCTGTCCGGCAAGATCCCCAACCCCTGGAGGACTCAGACCAGGTCCCACCTCACTCTGGCAGAAAGAAATGAATCCACCACAAAGGGGTCATAAGACCGGTCCCGTTAAGGATCTACGGTGGGGCTTAGCTGAAGGTAGGGAGGCTGAAGGCTGAGTGAGATGCAGGGAGCCGCAAGTGGGGGGAGGGAGGGAAGGGCTATGGAGAGGTGAGGGCACCGTAGTGAAGGAAGCACAGTGGGGGCCTCCTTGGCAGCCTGGGTGGAGAGCAGGAGGTGCTGAGCTTCCAGAGAGGGTGTGATCTAGCTGCCACTTGTGCTTTTTTTTTTTTTTTTAATATATCTTCTTTTTTTTTTTGGCCATACGGGGAGGCTTGTGGGATATTAGCTCCCGTACCAGGGCTCTATCGACCCAGGCCCACAGCAGTGAAAGCACCGAGTCCTAACCACTGGACCGCCAGGGAATTCCCCAGACAGTCGTGATTCAATGAGTGAGTCAGTAAAGGAATGAATGAGGGATCCAAAGAGAGGAGGGTGATGTGGGAGAACCAAATTTACCTTCTACAGTGAACTTTCTCTGGCAGCAGGAAGGGGTGGACACAGAGACAGATGCCCACACACACTACTCCCCACCCAGCCACCACCTGGAGTTTCATAGGCTGAGATGGGCTGAAGGCAGCACACTGGGCCCAGAAGGGACCAGGGGACTGGGTCACTGCTCCTCTACCCTGGGAGGGGGCTGACTGGATGCCCCGGGCCCAGGGCCAAGCTTCCTGGCTGCTGACTCAGGCCCCTTTGGCCAGCTCAGCATTCCTGCCCTCCCCACTGAATTGGGGCTATTGAAGCTCTTTGTAGGGGGGTTAGGCCACTGGTCACGCCCCCAACCAGAGCCTTCGCTGGGCTGAGGCTCTGCTCTTGGGGGGGGGGCGCACAGGCCCTGAGGGGGTCAGTCTGACAGTGCTCTGGCCACCAGCTGCTACTCTGGGGGTGTCTGGGACCGAGGACAATCCTGGGTAAGCTGGCTAGGCTGGCATCAGAGAGGGGAGCCCAGGGAAAGGGAATTGCCCTGACCCTTAGGACAGAAGACCCTGGGATGGTGACCCTGCTCATGACCCCCGGCTTGGGGAGGGGTCTGTCTCTTTGCATAGGCCACAGTGTGTAGGTGGGGTGCTGCAGGGGCTCTGTGGGTTGTCCTGCCAGCCCCATCAGACTGGAGCGTCCCTAAGGCAGAGTGGTTTCCCCATCAGACTGAGGCCATCACAGGGTATAGGCTGGGTCTCCCCCATAAGATAGGGACAGGGGTGGTTTGAAGCGTTGCCTATCAGACCCAGAGTTCCCCATGCCCGGTCTTTGTCCTCCTTAGTGTTTAACTTGGGAATCCTATCTGGAGAACAGCCTCAGCCTGTGCTGGTGGGTCCCAGCAAAGCCAGGGACTAGCTGACCCCAGAAGAACCAACGCTTCTCTAGATAAAGCGCCTCCACCCCGTCCCACCTCCTCCCCTCCTTTTTCCCCAAAGCCAGGATCTTCCCCCCCAAGCCCTGGCTGCATGGGCCTACACCTGTCAGATGTGCTTTTTCAGGTATGGGGGAGAGCCGGGAGCCATGAAGCCAGTGAGGGCTGTCACTCTTTGGTGGGTGCTACTGCTGGTGTCCAGGCTGGGGGCCACCAGGAAGGAATCCCTAGAAGAGGGCTCCTTCTACTATGGAACCTTCCCACTTGGTATGTCCACTCCTCCGTTGGTCTGTCCGTCTGTCCATTTGTCTGTCAGATTGCCTACCTTGGCTGACTTGTCAAGGAGTTTGGTGTTTCAGCTTCCTTACAGGTAGGATGGGGAAAATAACTCCATGTAGTTGTTCTGAAATAAAAGAAGTTCCTAACAGAATTTTTTTAAAGTTACTGTATAGATAGTAAATGCAAATCAGAGCTAAAATGGTACAGATGAATGCTTTTAACGTATTGTGTCTCCCCCCCTCCCTACCATACATGCTCCCACTCCTAGGGAGACAGGGCAGGCTGCCGGGGAGGGGGCTTGCCTTGTGGCCTGGGAGGCACAGCCCAGGGTCCCAGTACTGGGTGGGGAGTGGGAGGGGACTCAGAGTCCAGCTTGGGGTCTCCATTTGCAGGCTTCACCTGGGGCGTGGGCAGTTCCGCCTTCCAGACTGAGGGTGCCTGGGACCAGGACGGGAAAGGGCCCAGCATCTGGGACACCTTCACGCACAGTAGGAAAGGGAATGTGCTTGGGGAGGAGACTGCAGACGTGGCCTGTAACGGCTACTACAAGGTCCAGGTGAGTGATGGGTGTGCATGTGTGTGTATGATTGAGCATCACCTAGGGAGAGTTGGGAGGTGACAGACATATTGGGGGAACCCGAGTGACAATGTCAACCAAGTGCTCTGCTAAACATCCCCAGTCCCAGTGCAGCCAAGCGGGGAGGGGTCGGTGGTGACTGGGGCTTGGGGAGGGAGTGCCAGGATGTGGGAAGGTGGATGAAGGAGGAAAGGAAAGTTGGGCCCCACCTGAGCCAGTGCCTTAGTCTAAGCGATGGGCAGCTGAAGGGCTGAGGCCATGACCCCAGGGCCTACAGGCCACAGTAGCCTGAACCCCTGGTCCCTGCATGGGAATGGGCCCCCTGTGGGAAGAGCGGGACCAGCTCATCCTCTGTCCCTTTGCTCAGCACCCACTTTCCTCTCTGGAATGGGGATCCATCACCCTGATGGATTTCTCAAAGCATCCTCATATCCTGCATTTTACTTGACTCCTGGCATAGCCCCAGGCGTAAGCGGGGGCAGGTGGCGTCACACCTGTTGCGTAGATGAAGAGTACGTACAGGAGGGGCCTTAGTGGGGTCCGGCTGACCCTGCCCCGCACCCACCACCTCTGTCTGCACAGGAGGACGTCGCTCTGCTGAGGGAGCTGCACGTCAGCCACTACCGGTTCTCCCTGTCCTGGCCCCGGCTCCTGCCCACGGGTGTGCGAGGTGAGCTAAGGCCACACTGCCCCAGCCCAGGAGTGGCCCCTTTTGGCCGCGCTGGCTTTGTGGGGACACCAGAGAGTCCTGGGCGGCGAGAACAGCCCATGAGCACAGTTTCCCCAGCAGCAGCTCTCACGGGTTCTGCAGGTAGCTGGGCTCCCAGCAGTAGCTATTCCACCATCTGAGACCCGAGTGCTGGTGGGCTGAGGGCGCCTTCAGGGCTACAGAAAGCTCCAGGGCCCAGGAATAGTGCACTTCAGAAGGTCAAGGCCAAGGTCCTTTCTCATCAAGTCCCCCCTTTTATTTTGCCTTCAGCTGACGGGGTGAACAAGAAGGGAATCCAATTCTACAGTGACTTCATTGACGCCCTTCTGAACAGCAACATCACCCCCATCGTGACCCTGCACCACTGGGATCTCCCACAGGTGAGGCTGCGCAGGCTCAGAGGCCCAAGGGGAGCTCAGCTCAGCAGGAGGGAGCCTGATCTGGGCACTTGGGGTTGCCAAGGTGGAGGTAAAGGCTGGGGTCTGGGCTCTGGCTCGGGACAGGAAGATGGCAGGGAGTGAAGAAGAAATCTCCCAACTTACCCACGGTGGAGAGGTCCCACTGGTTTAACTGATGTTTGTAATAAGTGGTAAGCGCAGATTTTGATGTTTTCCAAAACATTTGGCCTGGAAACGACAACTCAGACTATAAAGAAAGAAGCATCTTTTGAGTAAGAGTTGATGGAATAATGAGCAAGTTTGTTTAGCCTTTTCTCCCCCAGGTTGTTAGAACTGTATGTGCTCATATACGAGCGCCCCCTCCCAAGCGATTTCCATAAAGCCTCAACATGCTTAAGAACCTCACAGTTAGACATCACTATTCAAGCAGTTTTTTTCATTCGTTCAACAAGGCTCTGTGGTATCACGGCCCAGCTGGCAGAGGAGCCGCTTATGTACCTCTCTGTGACACAGGGTGGTGGGAGGTCAGAGGACAAGACATTGGCTTCAGGGAGGTGATGGGGAGAAGATGGAGTACTATCCATGCTTTAGAGGGTGGGGCACCTGCTTCTCTCTCCACCCCTCTGTTTGCAGCTGCTCCAGGTCAACTATGGCGGGTGGCAGAACGTGAGCACAGCCAACTACTTCAGTGATTACGCCAGCCTATGCTTCGAGGCCTTTGGGGACCGGGTGAAGCACTGGGTCACTTTCAGTGACCCTCGGGTAAGCAAGGCCCCCCTCCAGGTGGGAAAACCCACTTTCCAGGCAGGAGTGTACCCTGTCATTTCTCACGGGTCCTGTGGTCCCCACTTGCCATCCCTGCAGACAATGGCAGAAAAAGGCTACGAGACGGGCCACCACGCACCTGGACTGAAGCTCCATGGCACGGGCCTATACAAGGCGGCACATCACGTCATTAAGGTGAAGTGGGTCCTTCTGGGAGTGAAGGCTGGGTTCAAGGTGGAAGGGTGAGTCCCAGTGACAGCTGAGCCCACCCCAGGGCCCGAGTCTGAGCCCAGTCGTCTGCCACCTCACCTTAACATGGTCCCCTTCCCTTCCATGAGGATCTATGAGGTAGTGTCCTGCCATCCAGGACTCTGCTGGACACTGCAGCCCAGATGACAGCGTGACTGCTCCCTATAGCGCTTGCAATCTAGCCAAGGGGCTGGAGCACATGCATGTGAAAACTGTCACCTACAGGTCTAAACTCTTTTGTGAGGAATGGTGACAGGAGGAAGTGGGGGGATGACAGTGAGCTAGGGGCTAGCATCTTCAGTGACCGAGCAGAAGTAACTGGAGGTTGGTGAATGACAGCAGCAGGAAGGGGTTAGGAGTGCTTGTCTGATAGCATGGACTTCAAAGGACCTGGAGTTTTTGAAGGAGGAAAGAGAAGTAGTTTGGAAGCAGCAACAAAGAGCAAGACAGGCACTCTCCTAAGGTGTGTGGGGTGTGAGGGGAAAAAATGGCGTCTGCTGGAAAGAGCTGCCGTGGCTGCGGTCTTTAGGGGCAGTCAGGCTCAGTTAGGGCAGAAATTGAGGGGGACATTGAGAGGAGATAACGACGGGCGAATTACAAGGCTATTGGAAAGGCTTGAGAAGCAGTGGGGGGGTTGGTCACATTCCAGGACATATATGAGGGTCCAGGTGATGATGACTGGGGAACAGGGGTGTGAGGCATGATGGCCCCAATGGACTCTCAACAGAAGGTGGACAATCTGATCAGGCGGGCAGGCAGGGGATCACTGGGGACATACCAGACCCTCAAATTCATGTCAGCAAGAGAACTTTCTCATCTTTCCCTATTTGGCTTAGGGTTTCTTAAACTGTGACTATTTAAAGGGCAGGGCTCTGAATATATCAGTGGGTCCCTGGGAGAGAACATGGAGAGAAGGCAGGTTGGCACATTTTGGATTCTGTTTCTCAAGACTGTTCCAGATGCTTGGTATTATATTTTCCTAACTTCCTGAGCACCTATGCTGAAAGCACTGCCTAGTTACTACAGAGGACAACCAGGAACGAAACAAGACACATTAGCAAAAATCTTAGAAACAATAAATAACACAGTGTGGTGGCTTATGTGTTTATGCCAGATTTAGAGCAAGTTTCCTCCACAGCACAAAGAAAATGGAGGTCAGAGGAAGGGAGACTATGGATTAGGCTAATCAAGGCTGGACTCATGAAAAGCATAGGACTTAAAATGATCTCTAGGGCTTCCCTGGTGGCGCAGTGGTTGAGAGTCCGCCTGGCGATGCAGGGGACACGGGTTCGTGCCCTGGTCCGGGAGGATCCCACGTGCCGCAGAGCGGCTGGGCCTGTGAGCCGTGGCCGCTGAGCCTGCGCGTCCGGAGCCTGTGCTCCGCAATGGGAGAGGCCACAACAGGGAGAGGCCCGCGTACCGCAAAAAAAAAAAAAAATGATCTCTAGAGTTAGGAAGGAGAGAAAGGCCACCCTGGGTTGAAAGGGAGGAGAGAAATGAATGAGGCAGGCATCTCCGATGGGCTCCTTTCTCTTCCAGGCCCATGCCCAAGCCTGGCACTCCTACAACAACACATGGCGCAGCAAGCAGCAAGGTGAGCCCTGCCACCATGTGCGCTGAGAACAGACGGGTGACCAGAGGAGCAATGTCACTGCGTGCCACCCCCTTTTCTCTCTCTTCTTATAAGGTCTGGTGGGGATTTCATTAAACTGCGACTGGGGGGAACCTGTGGACATTAGTAACCCCAAGGACATAGAGGCTGCCGAGAGATACCTACAGTTCTGCCTGGGCTGGTTTGCCAACCCCATTTACGCCGGTGACTACCCACAAGTCATGAAGGACCATATCGGTGAGCCACGTCACGTTTTTAAGACTCCAGATACCACAGCAACGGTGTTGAGCTCAAGTGAAATGACCAAAAGGCAGGGGGATAGAAGAACACACTGGGTTGGTTTGGGCGAGGCACTCGAGGGGTAAGCCAGCTCCCAAAGAATTTAGAACTGGTTATTCAAACTGGGAGGGTGGGGGACATCCAAACAAATTCCTAGACCCGGAAATTGAGAATTTCAGAATCCAGGGGAAAAAACTTAGCAATTCTCTAGGCTGCTCTCTTTTGTGTTCTGTTCTCCTGTCTCCTCCCCACTCCACTCCATCCAACTGTAGTGAAGTAGGAGTGAGAAGTCAAAGACACAGTCATGGGTGGAGTCAGTCCTATTGCTGGTTCTTTCTGCCACTTGAGAAATACTTTCCAAGCTCTAGTTTCCACAGTGTCAGAGAATAAAGACAGAGCTCACAAGGCTGTATTAATTTCGATGCTTTTAACTGCCACATAACAGAAAACTCCAAATAAAATGGCTTGAAAAGTAGGAGATTTATCATCTCACCTGAAATCCAGAAAAGGATAATCCCCAGCTAATTAATCCAGCCCTCAGGGTTGTCTTTGAGAACCCAGACTCAGTCCATCTTTCCACTCTGGCACTTTTAGCTACCTCATCAGCCACTCCCCAAGGCCACAAGATGGCTGTAGCAGCTCCAGGCATCACCTTTACACATCAACACCCTGAGGCAGAAAAAAAGGGAACAGTACTATCATATCTGTTTTTAAGAACAAGGAAAATCTTCCCAGGAAACAGCATCTACTCCCAGCTGACTTCCCGCTGTGCCTCAAGGGACAGAATTGTCAAATGCCCCAAGGTGCCCTAGACCACCAGGGCTAGAGAGCCTCAGAGCCTGGGGAGGGGTCAAGGCTCCCAGAAAGGATGTGGCCCTTTGGAAGCGGATGAGAAAAGAGGGCATGGAAGAAGACAGGCAGGGGTCTATTGGGTAGGCAACCAGCAGTGTCTGGCTCTAGGAATCTAAACATATAACTGTGATTCAGAGGTATCAGCCCACACCTCCCTAAAAAAGACAAGGATGACAGTGAAATAGGCTATATCTCATACATCAAGGCTATTTTAGATGTTTGACTAAGAACGTTTCAACATTTCAAAAATTTCCCTTTCTAAAGCACCATTTATCAAGACTTGTCTGGAATAGGAGGCAGCAAGTTCTAATTCCAACTCTGCCACTAACCAGTGAGTGATTCTGAGCAAGGTGCTTCACCTCGTCCTGTCTCAGTCTTATCACCTAAAAATGAAGGGATTAGACAAAATAATCTCTAAAAATCTTTTGATGATAACCAGTTCTGTGATATGTTCTGTACACATACACTCAAAATCTTGAGAATGATTTCCTCAAGATGCGTAAGGAAAAAGCCCTCACAATGGGACAATGCCCATATGGAACATTCCTGCAGACACACCCCATCATTCACATGCTGTTTGCTCTCTTGGGACCCTCAGAGGCCACTGCAGGCGCTACAAGATTGTACTAAAAAGCCAAATTGATTACCTATCATAGAACAATTCTTGGGCTTAAAGCCAATAATCCCAGACCCCACCAACTCCAACTCTATGATAATTCAAGTGGGAACAGGGCTCAATTTTTCCCTTATACAATGTGGAAAGAAGGATCCTTTAAGTAGTTTTTTCTTTTTCTTTTCTTTTTCTTTTGTTTCAGCATTATTAAGTATAACTGACAAATAAGACAATTAGTATTTTCTTTAGTAGTGAAAGCATTCTGCCTGAAATCTCATTCACAAATTACTTCCAGGGATCTCAGAAGCAGCCCTTCATTCACAATAAATATATGAAGAAAGGTAATTCTAGATGAGTGCTGTCCAATAGAACTTTTGGTGATCATGGAAATGTTCTCCATGTCCCCTATCTGTGCTGTTCAATATGACAGTCTGTAGCCATTTGTGTCTATTCAAATTCAAATTAAACAAAATTAAAAATTCAATCCTTCAGTGTGCCTGAGTTGAAGCTGCAGTCACATTAGCCATATTCCAGTAGCCACATATGCTGAGTGGCTATTGTAGTAGACACTACAGTGACAATTCCTGTGGTTTTTCTCAAGTTACTACATGTAACTGAAAGTAATAACATGCTAATAATTTAAAGGAATTTAATAATGCAATCTTTTCACTCATTTAATCTAAGCCAGCAGTCTCTTTGGAAACATTTTTATGGCTACATTTTAGATCAACTCATAAAAACGTTACTTCTCTTTATACATTGATTTAAAACTTTTTTTGCATAGATTATACAAGGACATGTTTCACATGTTTTGAAGTACAAAAAAGTGAAAAAAGTTAAGCTTCCTTCCCTCCCCCACCCACTGCTCCTATCCTCCCCAGAAGGAAGTACACTTCCAGAGATGCATTGTGCACGTGTGCGCAAGAACACTGCTGCTCGGTATGTGTATATACTTGCATGTACTGTATGTATGCAACACTCTGCATCTTTGTTTCACTTGAGCATCCGTCTTGGCGCTCGTCCTTGTCGTGTATGAAGCACTGCCTTATTCATTCTCATGGCTGCATAATGTGGTACTGATGGATATCCCATCATGTTTTTAACCAGTCTCTCCTGACAGACCTTCAGGGTGCTTCTAATCTTTTGCTACTCAATCTGTAATGAAGATCCTTGTACATACATCCTTTTACATGAGTAAAGTGTAGGATAAGCAGATTTAGAATTGGTCGGTGAAAGGACACACACTTTTACAATTTTGAAAGATAGGACATTGCCCAACACAGAGGTGATGTTAGCTTACACTACAACAAGGCCTGAACGTGACCGTGTCTCTCCGCACGCTACCACTGGCCTCCTCCAGTTCCCTTCCCAGAGGCAAGCAAAATTACCAATTTTTGATGTAAGGAATAACCTAGTTCTTTTTTCCAGATAGCTACACAATTGTCCACACACGTTACTGAGTAATCTGTAAAAATATTACTTTTAAGCAACATAAACTTAAAAATTTTTGGCTAGCATTCAAATGTCAAAATTCCAGTTTGAAAGGCTAAGGTCATAATTTCCACACAGATGAATTCCAAAGCCCAGGATCTGGATAACAGCTTTCATGTCAACGTGCCAGTATCATCATGGTACATGACAAGAGAATGATTGTGAGAAAATACAACTTGGTTAAATTCTGTTTTCTTCGCTCATTAGGAAGAAAGAGTGCAGAGCAAGGCCTGGATATGTCGAGGTTACCGGTGTTCTCACTCCAGGAAAAGAGCTACATTAAAGGCACATCTGATTTCTTGGGATTAGGTCATTTTACGACTCGGTACATCACAGAAAGGAACTACCCCTCTCGCCAGGGGCCCAGCTACCAGAACGATCGTGACCTAGTTGAACTGGTTGACCCAAACTGGCCTGATCTGGGGTCTAAATGGCTACATTCCGTGCCATGGGGATTTAGGAGGCTTCTCAACTTTGCTCAGGTGATTATTACATTAAGCTAAAGGACATTTTTTACCTGAATTCATGTTCTTATAGTATAAGCTCAGGTGCCTACATTTTAAAGTTAATTAAAAAACCCAGTTACTTATACTTCAGAAGCTACTCGATATAGGCCTTAAAGAAAGACTAAAAAAGAAAGAAAGAAAGAAAACAACAAGAAAGACTAATGTGGACTTCTCTAGTGGTCCAGTGGTTAAGACTCGGTGCTTCCATCGCAAGGGGCACGGGTTTGATCCCTGGTTAGGGAAGTAAGATCCTGCATGCCGCACAGCATGGCCAAAAAAAAAAAAAATGATGAATGCCTACTATGAATAATCATATATATAGATCATATACATTGTTGTTATACATTATATAAATTATATTCATGTAATATAATATGCACATATTTCATATGACTATATATGTATATATATAATATACATATTTATATATAAAACTTTAAAATTCTTATCTCATATTTAGTTATTTTGCTGCTCTTCTCACCTGTACTGGAATATGTGGGAAAGAACAAGACCTGAAGCATATTTTCTCTAAAATGATGCTTTGTCAAGAAATATATTCTTCTATATGAACTTGCCTCCTGCCTACACTCATCTCTAAATAAACATGTTAAGTGGCATCTACTAAACGCTAAACACACCCAATTAGAATATGGCAGCTTTCAATATGTGTTCCCATGATTCGTTTCAGACTCAATACGGCAATCCACCCATATATGTGACAGAAAATGGAGCATCTCAAAAACTACACTGTACCCAATTATGTGATGAGTGGAGAATTCAATACCTTAAAGGATACACAAATGAAATGCTAAAAGGTGAGATACAAACGGTCTTCACATATCTTTCTATTTAACTTGGGCAAAATCTGATAATACACGATTGACTAAAACGTGTTTCTAAATCTCATAGATGAAAACATTTAAGATTATCTTCGCAATACTATTTTTCCAAGAAAATGAAATATATTAAAAATGGAATGTCTTTGCAGCTATCAAAGATGGTGCTAATATAAAAGGGTATACTTCCTGGTCTCTGTTGGATAAGTTTGAATGGGAGAGAGGATACTCAGATAGATATGGATTCTACTATGTCGATTTCAACAAGAAAAATAGGCCGCGCTATCCAAAGGCTTCAGTTGAATATTACAAGAAGATTATCACTGCCAATGGGTTTCCCAATCCTCAAGAGGTAGGAATAATTATCAGTGTTACTCATTCTGGATTTTAGAAGAGCTAGGTAGCTGGGGTGTAGAGTTTGGCAAGTGGGCCCATTGTTTCTTTCCCTTTCACCACCTCTCTGCTTGTTTGCTTAGAATGGGGTAAGGACACTGTAAAATGCAATCCTAGCACACAGAGCATTAAGGGCAGACTAGGGTTATGCAGGAGTCCTGTTTACTTTAGGTTATGACAGTCAACAGAAACTGTGATTTAAATGTTATCCTAAATGTTGTATCTTAATGCAAACAAATACTACCTATTCTTCAACATACATGAAAAGTTAAGTAAATTGAATATATAATGACCGTATAATCTTCACTTCTTTTCCCACCAAATTGTACAGTGATACAAATGCACTGGTTCCAAAATGAGATTAAAAGTAATAATTTAAAAAATCCTTTAAAACCTCCCATTTTCAATAACCTACAAATTTTTCTGTCAGCTCTCTATTCTGTATGCTGCTGCACCTAATGGCAGGGAATATAAGTTGTAATTTAGAGTGTCTTAATTAAAAAAAAAACTCATTTGTTTATCCACATTCTTTAGAGTGAGCCTAGTGGGACTATAAATAGAAGCAGTGACTGATAACTATCAGGTATTCACTAGTTTTGCATTACTAGAAAAGACAGTAATTGCATTATTAGAAAAAGATAGCTAGATTATAAGCTTAAGAATAAAAACTGTTCTTTGGCTCCCTCACAATGATGCACATAGGCATTCAATAACTATTAACTGATTTAAACTACGAGCAGATTAAAAAAATATATTTCTTACCCCATATTATTCCAAACATGATTTCAAACAGCAAAAAACTAGTTTAAGACAACTTATCAAGTGGGTTTTTATTAGGTGGAAAGTTGGTACCTCAAAGCCTTGGAAACTTGCTCTATCAACAACCAGATGCTTGCTGCAGGTGAGTTTAATTCTTTGATAATTAAACCATGTAATTACGTATGCAATGGTATTACCAAAATCTCAAAATGTGGACCCACCTTAAGTCAATCTTCCAAAATCACATGATTAGAAATGGACTTTCCTTTACTTTGAAGCAATGTCAAATTTCTATCAGCACTTAAAATGTTTTAAAAATCTACCATGGGCTTCCCTGGTGGCGCAGTGGTTGAGAGTCCGCCTGCCGATGCAGGGGACACGGGTTCGTGCCCCGGTCCAGGAAGATCCCACGTGCCGCGGAGCGGCTGGGCCCGTGAGCCATGGCTGCTGAGCCTGCGCGTCCAGAGCCTGTGTTCCGCAACGGGAGAGGCCACAACAGTGAGAGGCCCATGTACCAAAAAAAAAAAAAAAAAAATCTACCATGAAAAAGAAATATCTACTCTAGTTTGATTCTGAATCATACTGTAAATTTATAAATCTACTATTTATAAATTTATCTACTCTAGTTCGATTCTGAATCATACTGTAAATTTATAAATCTACTATTGTGTTATAGTGGGCTTTGTTGGAAGGAGGGAGAAATTCAACCATTATACCAAATGGAATGAAGAAAAATCAAACACTCTAGATATTATATTCACTCATTCAGCAAGTAATTATGAAGCAGTCACTATTGACTCAAGGGTGTTTTAAGCCCTGGGGACATAGCAATAAACAACAAGGTCCCTGCTCTCACAGAAGGCATTTCTAATGCAACAGGATCTAAAAGGATCAGAGATGTAGAATAACCAGGATGTAACCATGCATCAAGAAATGCCAACGCATATCATTTGTTTCTTTGAATTTTGTCTTTCTCTCTATATAAAGGGCAACCAGAGAAATACACTTCCTGTTTTAATGAATTCATCTTCCATGTGGTATCAGAGGTGGAAAATGCTAGACCAAATCCTACCAATTCAACTATTTTTACAGGCCAATATACCACTGTCCCCTCCCACCTCATCTAAATAATCAGGCAAATATTAAAGATGTATATTCCATTAAACTAAAATAAACTTAATGTAGAGACATGATGTAGAATTTACTGTTGAGCCCATGAGCTCCATGAGAATTGGGCCTGTGCCTTATTTATCTCGGTAACCAAGGGTGCCTGGCACAAAACTTAAAAGCAGGTATTTCGTAAATGTCCACCTCAACGTTAATGCACTTGAAATATGCTTATCATTTAACTCTTAAAGACTGTTTAGCTGTGTTAAGAATGACCATGAAAATTTTCAATTCAGAAATTCCTATACCTCTTAAGATATACAATAAACATTTTTGAAAGGATGCAAATGTTTTCCAAGGAATTTTCTTTCCTAAATCCCCCCAAAGAGAATTATAGAAACTGAGGAATATGGCTGCTAATATTCTGAGTAAGCACTAGCACTGATATACATTTAGACTTTATTACAGTACCTATGGAAGAACCAAATTTAAGCATTCTTAATCCATATTTTCTGAAATATCTTACAAAGCCCTCACATAATTTTTTTATAACATTTAATTTACCAGGTTCTCTTTTATAGCAAATGAGAATAATTAGCAGTGTGATGATGCCATTTTCCAAGTTTATCCAGACAACTGAAGCTTTCAGGATGAAGCTGCATTCGCCAAAATGACCACATTCTCATCTGCCATGTTGCTCTCTCCCCCTCCGCAGAGCCTTTTCTAAGTTACATGCAGATCATGACGGAGATCATGGTACCTACAGTCTGCACCCTCTGTATACTAATCGCTGCAGTTCTCCTGATGCTTCTGCTGAGGAGCCTGAGCTGAGACAGGGTCATCCATTTTGTAGCTGCATCTTTCACAGAGAACCTTCAGGATCTTCTTCAGGATCTTCCTCCTTTTGCTCCTTCGAAGGTTTACATACATCTGTTTTCAGGTTCTGTGATAATTACCTTCCCACCACCTCTCTCTCTCTTTTTTTGGCTTGAGCTGGGATTGAAGAATTAGAAAATAAAAATACGCGTAAATGAAATAAAAATCACCTGTAATCTCACCCCTCTCAAAGTCAATGTTAATATTTTGCTGTATATTATGCATTGATTTTCATTTTGCAAAAAGGGATCACAGTGCACAAACTGTTTTGTAACTTATCTCATTTTAAAATCTGTCTGGAAATATTATTTTAATGTAGAAATGATTGCCACATTAGCACTGCCCTACACATGACGGACAAAATCAATCCTTTAGATATAACAGTCCTTTCAGACTGTAAATCCTATTAGGCAACCATGAAAAAGCATTAGGTGGGTACCAAGTAAATGAGCATATATATTTTTCTAAAAGAAATTTTCTTATGCTAAATATCCTTTACTCAATGAAATACCTCAAAGAAATATTATATATTGATTATTTAATTTATATATCTTCTATGTAACTAAATATTCTGTTTTTTCTAAGTCCATTTTATTCTTAACTATGCTAAAATGCTAAAATTAATATCCATGTATTTGGGTACAAAACACGGCTTAAGAGAAAGAATGATGTTAGGCATTTTATCCATTATCTGATTCTACTTAATGTTGTTTGTGAAACACAAAAACAGTAAGATCGTAGAAAAGGCTATTCCATTAATTCTTTTGGTTAATACTACCTCAAGTTAAACATTTTAAAAAGGGTATTTACATCTGGGACTTAGTCCTACAATTGGGCTGGTTACAACTGTTTTTAACAAAACTTTGCTTTCAATGTCAAATTGGCATGCCCGTTTAAGGTTTTTCTCTTCCATCAATGGTTTTGAGACCAAACTCTCCTTCTACTATATATACAGATTTCAAATGCAAAGACATTACCACTCAAAAATTTTTTTTTCCATTTCTCCAGTTTTAGGATTAAATTGTCAGTTGACTACAGAAGGTAGAAAGGAAATTAAAGATTTGCACTGCTCAGTAACAGCTGGTAAGCCTTTTATGTGATTACTAATAATCCATATCCCAAATGTACTAAATCAGCATTTATGTTGTAGAAAGAAAAAAAGAAAAAAGTAAGGTATTTAAGACATTATAAAGTATTTGCAGAGAACAAAAAGTGAACATACCACCTTACAGAGGGCCCCATCAGCACACTTCACTTGAAATGCACCTGGCTGCAGGTAACCATGTTAGTAAAGGATATCCTTTCTTCCAGGCTACCGTTTAATGTTAATTCAGAAAAATCTATAACCAGAGAGAGAGATCAGAATTGAATTCATCAACAATTCATTGAACTGTTTTTCTGCTAAGTTACTGCTGAATTTTACAACAATCAAGAGGTAGTCTGAATGATGTGTCTTCTACTTTAAAAGAACTTGTTAGACAAAAATCAGCAAAGACAATTCCTTTTAATAGTCAACCCTCTTGATGCATTGAAAATATGACTAAACAAACTAAAGTAGATTTTTAAAAATTATATATTCGGGGGGAATTCCCCAGCAGTCCAGGGGTTAGGACTCCACACTTCCACTGCTGGGGGCCCAGGTTGGATCCCTGGTCCAGGGAACTAAAATCCCACAGGCTGCACAGTGCAGCCCCCCCCCAACAAAAATTATATATTTTTAATTTGGTAAGCTACTGCTTTATTTTTTAATGCCTCCTCCACTACAGTTAAATATAACTGTCTTCTTCCAATTGTAATATATATTTCAGAAAACATTTTCTACTTAGGATTTATAGTCTTAGGGCTAGACACATCCATTTTTTTCTCCTGAAGATTGTTGTATTTCAAAATCAAATGATACAATTAACATTTAGATGAGATCATGTCCACTTCCTTGTGGGTCAACATTTTGGTTTCCATATTCCCACCATTACCAGCAATCATTTGCCGAGCACCCACTGGGTGAGCAGCACTCTACTGGACACTGTTTTTCTCCCCCATTAACTCCAAGTCATTATTCTCTTTTCCCAGGGCAGCTAAAAGTACACTTTTCTCTCTTCAGTCTTCCTGCTTTTGATGTCAACTGTTTTACTCAAGAGCATCATACCGTTAGGTATCTTGAAAAGCTAGTATTTGACCTAAGTGCTCAGTCCAATGAAATAGAAAGTCTAATTTTGTAAATGCCTATGATCTTTGGCCAAAAATAAGTGATTATTGGACTTTAATATCTACAACTGAGGCTTTGTTTGAATAATCTATGACTTTTACAAATGAAGTCCTCCTTTAACAGTGGGTCTTGGTTTGGGCCAAAGGTCACTGAATAATTTCTAGACAAACACATCAAGAATACATAATGGGTAGAAGAGGTTATGAAGTTCAAGTCAAAATGGAGTGTGAGTGTGTTTCCAAGCACGTAAATATATGATTTCATAAAAAATTCCTTATTTTCATAAAAAGAGTCACTGGACCAATACATTAGCAAATAGTTTTAACTCTAACATTCAAAATAACTTTCATTCTTTTTTGAAGCAACCTGCATTAAAAAGACTCTAAAAAAACAAAAAAGTCTCTAGAAGATAGTTCCGTATACTTCACTTATTCAGCATCATTGGAAAAGGTGTTTAATCTTGTATTAATCTCCTAACAGGTTTAATCTTAATGTAATAAAATTTATTTTAAAATGGCATTTTTGAAAAATGTATCACATTTATTCATATCTTTTAAACTTTTAAAATCATAACACACATGTCTTTAAGAAAAAAAACCTGAAACAACAAATATAGATAAAATAAAATGTTTAAACTGGTGGTCTTCAACCTTCGTTGCACAATGAAATCACTTGGAGAACTTTAAAAATTCTGATGTCCAGGCTCTACCTCCAGCGATTCTGATTCACTTGGTCTGGGTATTAGGACTTTAAAGGCTCCCCAGATGCTTCTAATGATCAAAGCTGAGACCCACCCCTGCCCTCATCATTCCACACCTCAGGGTTGAGCTTTAGTTGTCTCCTTTCAGAGGTTTTTCTATGCCCAGGCCCATGGTTTTGCTACTGTAAACAATACTGCAATTAGTGATCTGGTCCACAGGCCTTTTTGCACATGTCTGGTTATATATGTGGAATAGATTCCTATTAATGGAATTGGTGGTCCAAAGAATGTATTCTTTAAAATTCTGGTGAATATCACCCTCCACAAAAGCCATACAACTTTACACTCCATCCAGCAGTGCGTGAGTTTCCCCCAAATCCCGGCCAGCACTGTGACACCAAACATGTTGATCTCTGCTAATCTGACAGGTGAAAGATGGTATCTACAGAATATAAATTTGCATTCCTCTTATTATAGGTGGGGTTGATCACCTTTTGCTTTTAAGATGACATTTAAATTTCCTTTTTGGTAAACGGTTCATATTACTTGCCCATTTTTTTCTACTGAGTTATTAATACTTTTCTTACAGATCTGGAAGTTCTTTATATACTAGAGAATGTAGCCCCTTTTCTGAACATGAGCTGCAAATTTCTTTTCCTAGTTTATTATTTGTTTGTTGCTTCACCTCTGGTATTTTTTGCCACGCAGAAAATTTTTTATTTTTATACAGTTCATTTTCAATCTTTTATAGGCTCCAGCTTTTATATCACACTTAGAAAAGATAGCACGATCTTAACTGATGGTTCTCAGGAACATTTGATTTCTTTAGGACTTTTACAGTTCAGCCATATGAATAGAGAAGTTCCCATTATGCCTGAATCAAAATATACTCGGGGGGGAGAATAAACAATTTCTGGAAATAATTTTGCAAAATATCAATCACTACAATAGGACTATCTGTATTCCCAGCTTTCAAATACCCTTGAATTCTGTCTTAAAACTATCAGATTTTATTTTGGATAATCCTTGCGATATTTGAATCAGCCATTTAAGACTTATACAAATAAGAGATGACAGCCCCACACAATCCATGTGCATAAAGATAACAGTCTTATAGGTACTTACGGAAGGAGGTATAATTAACTGGTGGGTCAGCTAATTATACCAGGGGCAAAAAGACATTCTTTGACACACATAATCTTTGATACAATACTAGAAATCTCAACCCTTATTCCTACCACAGAGAAGGTACTAGAGCAGAAATATCATCACTGTTTTAAATGGTGCAGAAAAGTGTGAAGTATGAGCTGGCATTTCCATTTTATAACCTATTTTCACACCTACGTCCCTATTGCTTGGTGTCTTTTAATAAAATTTCCTCTAGCTAGGATAATGAGAAAAAGCACTCTTTCATGTTTTTTTTTTCCCCCAGAATAAATAGGTTTATACCTAGAGTTCAGGAAAATTATTTAAAACTAGGCGCAAGAGCTCTAATAATAATCTCTACTAGTAAACTTAGTTTATTTTCTTTTGGAATAATTTACGTGAATAGACTACAAACCATCTCTACCAGGTCTGTGAAAATTCAGATGATCTACAGGTGGGCTGTCACTCAGTTGCCAAACTGTCTTCACCTTCTTTTGACCACTGTTTATTTCCACTCTCCATTTCTGTGGCTTCTCACTAAGGAAAGAAAAAAAAGCAAAGAGAAAAAACCAATCCAATTCCTTCTTTCTATAGTCACATAGTGAAGTCCTTCTGTGGTAAGCACTGAGGAAGAAGAGGTGGAGAGGTCACATTCCTACCCTCAAGAAGCACAGTCAAAAGAGGGAGAGAAACAAGAATGTAAATGATAACAAATTGGTGCAGCCACTATGGAAAACAATATGGAGGTTCCTTAAAAAATACTAAAAATAGAACTACCATATGATCCAGCAATCCCACTCCTGGGCATATTTACAGAAAAGACGAAAACTCTAATTCAAAAAGATACATGCACCCCAATGTTCACAGCAGCACTATTTACAATAGCCAAGACATGGAAGCAACCTAAATGTCCATTGACAGGTAATGGATAAAGATGTGGTGTGCCTATATATATATGCATACATATACATACATATACATATATATGTGTATATATACACATACATACATACACACACACACACACACACACACACACACACACACAATGGAATACTACTCAGCCATAACAGTATGGGCACAGTATGTATCACTGATGATAGATGATACTGACATATCTCTCAGATACCCTGGGCCAGGGTTCTGGATTCCTTGACCTAGAGAATAGGATTCAGCGAGGCAGAACTTTGAGCCCATGTGACTACAGAATTTGCTGATGACATAATTTTACACAATAAGAGTAGGAAATTTTATCTCTCTTTTCAGTAGTTTAACATTGTTTCATACTGTGTACATAAGTGTTCACTCACCCAGTTAAAAACACTGGGTAAACCAAATTTTTATATAGACTACCCTTGCCATATGTTGCTTTTCTCCCCCTTAAAATATACAGTTTAAATCCTTAAAAATTCATGCATAGTACTTTGACATACCTGGGGTCTGTCTGTCTGTTCTTCTCTCATCCACAAGGGCTAAACAAACCTACCAGAGCTTGAATGTGACTTATTTTAGGGATCAACCCAGGGAAGGGAAAGCCCTTGGGATTTTTTTCTTTTTAAACTATTCACCAGTTAGGTAAATTAGTTCACTAAGGTAAAAAGCATTCAGAGATACAAAGATAGGAAGCTAAAGTAAATATAACACTGTGCCACTTGGGGCTCTGAAATTGGATTGGATGAACTGAGTAAAGAAAACAACAGATGACCTAGGCTTGAGATCCCTCATTTCTCATGCACAGTTCCTGGTCCCCCTCGTGACTCCTTTCCTAAACTAACCAAGTGCTGATGTCATTGGGTCATTTACTTACAAGTTCACAGCTTTTAGGAAAAAACAGGGAGTTGGGAAACACCTACTTTTTGAATTAGATATAAATCTTGAAAGTTTTGAACTATTGGCAGCTCTTAAATCAGATGGAACCACAAACCATAAGTATTCTCTCCTGTTGAGCAAGACCAGTAAGTTAGAATAGAATAATTTAACAATTCCATAGTTTTCTCCCTTTCTTCTCCTCTTCATGAAATCAAGAGTGATGAGAAACGGCTCTTTCAAATACCTCTAAAGGTATTGTATTGTACCTCTTTCCCCTCCAAGCAGCCCTCTTTATGCATTTTTGCTCAGGCAAACAAGGACATAGAGTATTGGCAGAAACATGGAGTCCTT